CTTGCTTGTCCCTCGGAATAATTTCGGACGCAAGCTGTGCACAGACGATCAGATTACCGTACGATGGCTTCGAACGCGGCACTTCAATTTTCTGAACGAGGCTTTAGATTCACACCAGCGCACTGATCTGCGTTTCAGCGCAGCAGTAAAAAACGCAGCTCAACGGACGGACGTCTGATAAACAATCATTTCCAACGTGTTATTCACACCGTAACGCTGCAATGACCCGCGCTGCGCTAAAATTCAACAGGTAGGCATTTTAGCGCAACGGCATTAAGCGGATGTCAACGCAATGCGCGGGATATCCTGTGAAAATGCAGAACGCTTTAACGTGCGATAAAATGCATGTCAGCGGATGTCCGCACGCGACTACGGCGGATGGAGGAGTACATCGACTTTCTGTAGGATTTCATACACATCGGTGTGAATTGGCCCTCAGAATGTGGTGATGAAGGGGTCCGGAGTATGTGATCCGGGGTTCCCGGTGATGGCTCCATACACCGTACCGGGTGATGAGCAGGGGCAGACTGATCATTTGGAAACTCAGGCACTGCCCGAGGGCCCGGGGTCAGTAGGGGGCCCCATGAGATGCCCCTGGTACCTTTTTCATAGGCTTTTTTGAGTTTGGGCAAGGACACAGGGGCCCCATGATCCCCTATTGCCCGGGGGCCCCATGAGTTGTCAGTCCGCCCCTGGTGATGAGGGATCTCCGGGGTTATCGGACGGTACAGCTGAGCGCTGGTTGTTCGGTCCTCCGGCCGGCAGGTGGCGGTGTTCCGGCGGGGGGTGGTGTAGAGACAGTCAGGCGGACAGATGACTCCGGATCTGTAGCCGGTTCCTCTGTGCTCTGTGCACCGGACAGGTATGGGGGGAGGGGGGCACGGTGCTGGGGGACGTCTGTGTTTAGAGAGGTGATTGCTGTATTATCAGGAGGTCCCCATCCCCCCACTGCATCCTCCTGACCCCCCCTCCCCCATAGTACACACAGGGGAACCACAGGGCTCAGCATGTCCTCATCACAGCCTAACATCGAACCCACATTTCATTATATTCTACATAGAGGAGGATGTCTGCTCCTTCACTTCCTGTCCTGTGACACCATTGCATGGACATTTCCCATCACTTCCTGCCCTGTGACACCATTGCATGGACATTTCCCATCACTTCCTGTCACACCATTGCATGGACATTTCCCATCACTTCCTGCCCTGTGACACCATTGCATAGACATTTCCCATCACTTCCTGTCACACCATTGCATAGACATTTCCCATCACTTCCTGCCCTGTGACACTATTGCATGGAGATTTCCCCTCACTTCCTGTCCCTGTGACCCCACATAGCGACAGATCACTTCCTGTACTTTTGACACCATTGGATGGAGATCTCCCCTCGCTTCCTGTCCTGTGACCCCACTGGAGGGAGACTTCCTGTGCTGTGACACCATTGGATGGAGACTTCCCCTCATTTGCTGTCCCTGTGACACCATTTGAGGGAAAATCCTGTCCCTGTGGCCCCACATAGCGAGAGATCTCCCCTTACGTCCTGTCCCTGTGACCCCACATAGAGATCTCCCCTTACATCCTGTCCCTGTGACCCCACATAGAGATCTCCCCTTACGTCCTGTCCCTGTGACCCCACATAGAGATCTCCCCTTACGTCCTGTCCCTGTGACCCCACATAGAGATCTCCCCTTACGTCCTGTCCCTGTGACCCCACATAGAGATCTCCCCTTACGTCCTGTCCCTGTGACCCCACATAGAGATCTCCCCTTATGTCCTGCCCCTGTGACCCCACATAGTTAGAGATCTCCCCTTACGTCTGCCCCTGTGACCCCACATAGAGATCTCCCCTTACGTCCTGTCCCTGTGACCCCACATAGTGAGAGATCTCCCCTTACGTCCTGTCCCTGTGACCCCACATATAGAGATCTCCCCTTATGTCCTGTCCCTGTGACCCCACATAGTGCATTAGAAGATCTCCCCTTACGTGCTGTCCCTGTGACCCCACATAGTGAGAGATCTCCCCTTACGTCCTGTCCCCCCCACATAGTGAGAGATCTCCCCTTACGTCCTGTCCCCCCCACATAGAAGATCTCCCCTTACGTGCTGTCCCCCCCACATAGTGAGAGATCTCCCCTTACGTCCTGTCCCCCCACATAGTGAGAGATCTCCCCTTACGTCCTGTCCCCCCACATAGTGAGAGATCTCCCCTTACGTCCTGTCCCCCCACATAGTGAGAGATCTCCCCTTACTGTCCTGTCCCCCCACATACTGAGGGAGATCTCCCCTTACATCCTGTCCCTGTGACCCCCCCCCCACATGAAGGGAGACTTCCTATCCCTGTGACACCATGGAGGGGAATGTCCCCTCACTGTCCCCTGTACATGTGATATCATTGGATGGAGACTTTCCTGTCCCGTGACCCCACTGGAGGGAGACTTTCTGTCCCCGAGACCCCACTGGAGGGAGACTTCCTGACCCCACTGGAGGGAGACTTCCTGACCCCGTGACCCCACTGGAGGGAGACTTCCTGACCCCCAGACTCCACTGGAGGGAGACTTCCTGACCCCACTGCAGGGAGACTTCCTGACCCCACTGGAGGGAGACTTCCTGACCCCCAGACCCCACTGGAGGGAGACTTCCTGACCCCACTGGAGGGAGACTTTCTGTTCCCGAGACCCCACTGGTGGGAGACTTCCTGACCCTTTGACCCCACTGGAGGGAGACTTCCTGACCCCCAGACCCCACTGGAGGGAGGCTTCCTGACCCCCAGACCCCACTGGAGGGAGACTTCCTGACCCCACTGCAGGGAGACTACCTAACCCCACTGCAGGGAGACTTCCTGACCCCACTGCAGGGAGACTTCCTGACCCCACTGCAGGGAGACTTCCTGACCCCGTGACCCCACTGGAGGGAGACTTTCTGTCCCCGAGACCCCACTGGAGGGAGACTTCCTGACCCCCGTTACCCCACTGGAGGGAGACTTCCTGACCCCGTGACCCCACTGGAGGGAGACTTCCTGACCCCACTGCAGGGAGACTTCCTGACCCCGTGACCCCACTGGAGGGAGACTTCCTGACCCCGTGACCCCAGTGGAGGGAGACTTTGCCCACTTTCTAACTCTGGCACAGGAACAGAAAGAAGAAGTAAGAGAATGGACGGGAAGAGAATGATGCTGGGGGTTATTTTTGGGTGAAGATCCCTTTTCAGAATTAGTACAAGCAGCTCATCATTAGTCACAAGAGACATTCATTTCTGTCATTTGGGGACCCCTCATCAGTTCATGTAAACTTTGCCCCTCCCCCACCGACAACGCATCTAGCAAGGAGACAACTGCATAGGAAGCACATTTTGGAACATTGTTTTGAAAATCCTTTTGGGAAAATAAGGACTTATGTTTGAAATATTATATACCGTATTTTTCGCTCCATAAGACGCACTTTTTTCCCCCCAAAAAAGGGGGGAAAATGTCAGTGCGTCTTATGGAGCGAATATGGAGCGGCCGGTCCGGTATTTCCACTGCCGCCGTGTCAGAATACCGGGCCGGCCGCTCAGCTCTACAGCGGGACCTTATAGAGATGACGGCTGACCTTTGGGGAGAGAGGGGGAGCGGGTACCTGAATTTGACAGGTACCCGCTCCCACTTCCGCGGAGTTGTTCTTTATCTTACCTGTTCCTCTATCCAGCGGCGCGCTGTCTTCCGGCTTCTGTAGTGTGGGCGCTCGGCATGACAGCCGGGTGCAAGTGCGCATGCGCAAGAAGCGGTGCTTTTTGTGAATGGTAAGGCGGTACCTGGGACACATGACAGATCCCAGAAGCCGCCGGACCAATCACAAAGCGCAAGTGCTTCTCGCTCTTGCGCACTGGGCACCCGGCTGTCATGCTGAGCGCCATTACAGAAGCCGGGAAGACAGCGCGTGGCTGGATCGAGGAACAGGTAAGATGAAAGAACAACTACTGCGGAAGTAAGAGCGGGTACCTGTCAAATTCAGGTACCCGCTCCCCACCCTCCCCAAAGGTCAGTAGTCATCCCTTGTACTATCCACAGTCTCTGGTCATCTCCTGTGCTGTCCGCAGTCTCTGGTCATCTCCTGTGCTGTCCGCAGTCTCTGGTCATCTCCTGTGTACTGTGTCCGCATGTCTCTGGTCATCTCCTGTACCGTGTCTGCAGTCTCTGGTCATCCCTGTACTGTGTCCGCAGTCTCTGGTCATCCCTGTACTGTGTCCGCAGTCTCTGGTCATCTCCTGTACTGTCCGCAGTCTCTGGTCATGTCTCCTGTACTGTACTGTGTCCGCAGTCTCTGGTCATCTCCTGTACTGTGTCCGCATGTCTCTCTGGTCATCTCCTGGTACTATGTCTGCAGTCCATTAGTTCAGAATTTTTTTTTCCTGTTTTCTGCCTCTAAAACCTATGTGTGTCTTATGGTCAGGTGCGTCTTATGGAGCGAAAAATACGGTATATATTTTTGCACGGACATTTATTTATTTGTGATTATTTTTATTTATTTAATTTTTGCGCTGTTTTTTGTGTTATTTATTATTGGTGGTTTTCACTGGTGCACAGCTGCATAATTTTATACTTTCTTTGATTGGCGCTGGGATTTTTTTAGTTTGTTTGCATAGGTAGCGCCTATTATCTCCAGCTCCAGACATGTACTCAAGACAAGCAGCAGCAAGAAAAATGCAGGGCGGGGGAGGGGATGCTTGTCTCTTGGAGCCGGAGATGAGTGTCGGCTATCAGTGCTGCTGTCTCCTTGCTGGCTGCGTTGTTGGACAGCCGTGGGGGTGGGGCTCATCCTGCCCAACCTCATAGCTAGCCTTCCACAGCACATAGGAAGCTGGGACAGAGTACTGTGGAGGACGGAACACTAATAAAAAAAAGAAATGCGACGTCCCCCCTTCATATTGCCCTGTATTCATACTGAAAACATTCTTTTTCTTCATCCGAAGGAAAGGCCTTGATGTGGGCGGCCTGTGACACCGGCCGAGTGGTGCGAAATGGTCCGGTCATGCTCTGCTGCTAATTGTGTCAACCGGCAGACGGCGCTTACGAGACGCAAAGGGATAACATTCCACAGGTAGGTACTGTGGTCTGACCTAGGGCGAGATAACATTCCACAGGTAGGTACTATGGTCTGACCTAGGGCGAGACGCAAAGGGATAACATTCCACAGGTAGGTACTGTGGTCTGACCTAGGGCGAGACGCAAAGGGATAACATTCCACAGGTAGGTACTGTGGTCTGACCTAGGGCGAGACGCAAAGGGATAACATTCCACAGGTAGGTACTGTGGTCTGACCTAGGGCGAGATAACATTCCACAGGTAGGTACTATGGTCTGACCTAGGGCGAGACGCAAAGGGATAACATTCCACAGGTAGGTACTGTGGTCTGACCTAGGGGGAGACGCAAAGGGATAACATTCCACAGGTAGGTACTGTGGTCTGACCTAGGGCGAGATAACATTCCACAGGTAGGTACTATGGTCTACCCTAGGGCGAGACGCAAAGGGGTAACATTCCACAGGTAGGTACTGTGGTCTGACCTAGGGCGAGATAACATTCCACAGGTAGGTACTATGGTCTGACCTAGGGCGAGACGCAAAGGGATAACATTCCACAGGTAGGTACTGTGGTCTGACCTAGGGCGAGATAACATTCCACAGGTAGGTACTATGGTCTGACCTAGGGCGAGACGCAAAGGGATAACATTCCACAGGTAGGTACTGTGGTCTGACCTAGGGCGAGACGCAAAGGGATAACATTCCACAGGTAGGTACTGTGGTCTGACCTAGGGGGAGACGCAAAGGGATAACATTCCACAGGTAGGTACTGTGGTCTGACCTAGGGCGAGACGCAAAGGGATAACATTCCACAGGTAGGTACTGTGGTCTGACCTAGGGCGAGATAACATTCCACAGGTAGGTACTATGGTCTACCCTAGGGCGAGACGCAAAGGGGTAACATTCCACAGGTAGGTACTGTGGTCTGACCTAGGGAGAGATAACATTCCACAGGTAGGTACTTTGGTCTGACCTAGGGCGAGATAACATTCCACAGGTAGGTACTATGGTCTGACCTAGGGCGAGATGCAAAGGGGTAACATTCCACAGGTAGGTACTATGGTCTGACCTAGGGCGAGATAACATTCCACAGGTAGGTACCTTGGTCTGACCTAGGGCGAGATAACATTCCACAGGTAGGTACTTTGGTCTGACCTAGGGCGAGATAACATTCCACAGGTAGGTACTATGGTCTGACCTAGGGCGAGACGCAAAGGGGTAACATTCCACAGGTAGGTACTGTGGTCTGACCTAGGGCGGCGTCCCTGCGCAGTGTGTGTGACCGCATTCTTATTGTAGATTTATTACTGTATTCTAGTTGCCATCTTTATAATATTGTGTTCTAATTACCATATAGTTGTTACCATTTTTATCATTGTATCAATTTAGTAATTGTTCCAAAAACTGTAGCTGCTGACTTTTAACCACTTGCTAACCGCGTTATTGTCGAATGACGGCTACAGCGCAGTCGTCCAGTTCTGGACGTCCTATCAGAACGCCCCCAGTGGCGCACCCCCCGCGATCTCTGTGTCCTATGGACACAGCTGATCACGTGATGAGGTAAAAGGCCAATCACAGCTCCTTTTACCGCATGATCAGCTGTGTCCACTGACACAACAGATCACGGAGTAAATACAGTTGCCGGTTATCAGCAGCACTTTGCTCACACTGTCACAGTACTGCCGATAACCGGCAAATATGACAGATCAGTACTGATCATCAGTGCCCTGCAGTGCCTCCCAACAGTGCCACCCTCCAGTGCCCAACAATGCTCCCCATCAGTGCTGTACAAGCAGTTGCGCCCAGCAGTGTAGCCAGTCAGTGCTGTTAGTCAGCACCACACGTCAGTGCTGCTTATCAGTGTATCAGTGCCCATCATTGCTGCATATCAGTGCAGCATCATCAGTGCCTCCTCATTAATGCCCACAAGTGACACCTCATTGGTGTCACCTCATCAGTGCAGCCTATCAATGCCCATCTGTGCCACCTCAGGAGTGCTGCCTATCAGTGCCCATCAGTGCTGTCTATCAGTGCAGCTTCATCAACGCACATCGGTGAAGGAGAAAAATTACTTGTTTGCAAAATGTTATAATAAAAACAAAGAAAAACTTTTTTTTTTTAATTTTGTGCTCTTTTTTTTGTTTATAGCGCAAAAAATAAAAACACCCAGTGATGAGTACATACCACCAAAAGAAAGCTCTATTTGTGTGAAAAAAAATGCTAAAAATGTCATATGGGTACAGTGTTGCATGATCGCGCAATTGTCATGCAAAGTGTGAGAGCGCTGAAAGCTGAAAATTGGCCTGGGCAGAAAGGGGGTAAAAGTCCCCGGTAGGCAAGTGGTTAATAAACGGTCACCTGTCCAGGAATCCAGCTCTGTCTTCACCCGGGCCGGTTCTTCACAGGTCTTTGGGTCCCCAGTACCAGCATATTTACTATGGGAGGCTGACTGGGACTCCTCGCAGCTTCACAGCCGACTCCCCGTTACGCATGCGTGAGTCACGCTGCGCCTTGTGAATGGTTCCGCAGCCTACTGGGACCTGTGACATGCCCCAGTAGGTCACTGGCAGGGGGCCGAACTTCTGCTCCGATCACCTAGGTTGGGGGTCTCCAAACTTTCTAAACAAAGGGCCAGTTTGCTGTTTTTTAGACTTTAGGGGGGCCAGACTGTGACCAGCGGGAGTGGAGAATGCCCTGACATCAGTGGAAGTAGACAATGGGGCTTATTTACTAAAGCCGGACAGTGCAAAATCAGGCTCACTTCTGCGTAGAAACCAATCAGCTTCCAGGTTTTATTTGCCAAAGCTTAATTGAACAAGCTGAGTTTAGAAGCTGATTGGCTCCCATGCACAGCTACACCAGATTCTGCACTCTCCAGTTTTAGTAAATCAACCCCAATGTCTCAGCCCGGGTTCACACTTGTGCGATGCGGCACATAGCATGTGATTCGCACAGGAACTGTACCTCATTCACATGCGATTTCTGTGCGGTGCAATTTGAGCCATACATTTTGTCAACAGTAGATTCCTCCCAGCAACGGCTAACCCCCCCAGCAACATAAGACCCCTTCCCCAGCAACAACAGATTCCCACCAACAACAATAGACATCCATGCAAAAATAGATCCCCTTCAGCAACAATAGATTCCCTAGCAGCCAACATCAATAGACTTCTCCCTCAACTGTAGATTCCTTCCAGCAACAACTGAACCCCAGCAACCTAAGACCCCTTCCCCAGCAACAACAGATTCCCCAGCAACAATAGACATCCATGCAAAAATAGATCCCCTTCAGCAACAATAGATTCCCTAGCAGCCAGCATCAAGACTTCTCCCTCAACTGTAGATTCCTTCCAGCAACAACTGAACCCCCAGCAACCTGAGACCCCTTCCCAGCAACAACAGATTCCCACCACAACAACAATAGACATCCATGCAAAAATAGATCCCCTTCAGCAACAATAGATTCCCTAGCAGCCAGCATCAATAGACTTCTCCCTCAAATGTAGATTCCTTCCAGCAACAACTGAACCCCCAGCAACCTAAGACCCCTTCCCCAGCAACAACAGATTCCCACCAACAACAATAGACATCCATGCAAAAATAGATCCCCTCCAGCAACAATAGATTCCCTAGCAGCCAGCATCAATAGACTTCTTCCTCAACTGTAGATTCCTTCCAGCAACAACTGAACCCCCAGCAACCTAAGACCCCTTCCCCAGCAACAACAGATTCCCCCACCAACAACAATAGACATCCATGCAAAAATAGATCCCCTTCAGCAACAATAGATTCCCTAGCAGCCAGCATCAATAGACTTCTCCCTCAACTGTAGATTCCTTCCAGCAACAACTGAACCCCCAGCAACCTAAGACCCCTTCCCCAGCAACAACAGATTCCCCACCAGCAACAATAGACATCCATGCAAAAATAGATCCCCTCCAGCAACAATAGATTCCCTAGCAGCCAGCATCAATAGACTTCTCCCTCAACTGTAGATTCCTTCCAGCAACAACTGAACCCCCAGCAACCTGAGACCCCTTCCCCAGCAACAACAGATTCCCCACCAGCAACAATAGACATCCATGCAAAAATAGATCCCCTCCAGCAACAATAGATTCCCTAGCAGCCAGCATCAGTAGACCCTCCAGGACATCTCACCACCTCTTGTCATTACATACATTCAGTGCTGGAGGTGCCGGAATGTGTTCCCCCGCGCTCCTGCTGAATAAGAGCCCTGCTTATTATCGTATTCTTATTATATCTACTTATTATTGTATTCTGGACCTGCTGGGTCTAAGATAATTCTGTTGTTGCTCATAGCAACCAGTAAACCTCTTTTCGTTTACTTGTATGTGTATTCTTTAGTAATTTTAGCAATTTTTCCTGCCCCGACATGCAAAAAATGGCTATAGATGTGCTTTACAGCAGAGCTCAGACTACAGTAGACAGAAGCAGCACAAGGAGCCAATTAGCTGTGCTTTAGTAGCCATGTGCTAACAGGCAACTTGCTGATAGGAGGAGAGAGCAGAGTGACAAGGGAATGAGTTCCACAGTCTGCTGCTTCTCTTTCACAGGTTGGGGCAGGAACAAGAGTTGTATTTCTTATCTGCAGCAGATAAATGCCAGGTCTAGAGGATAAATGAGCTGTCTGGCAGGGCTGTGTAACTCTCGGGACTGGATGGATGGAAATACAAATCCTTTAGCACACGGGTGTCAAACTGGCGGCCCTCTAGCTGTTGCCAAACTACAAGTCCCATGAGGCATTGCAAGATTGACAGTTTACAAGCATGACTCCCAAAGGCAGAGGCATGATGGGACTTGTAGTTTCACAACAGCTGGAGGGCCACCAGTTTGACACCCCTGATTTAGCAGGTATATTAGCTCCTATTTATGTATTTCATCCATGTATAGGCATGTTGCCCGGAGATCCACTTTAAATGTTCTTTCATATTGAAATCATTTTCTTTTTTTGTATCTTTGGTTCTGGGTTGTCATTCCTCCCATGACACAGTTATCACCTTTTTTTTTTTTTCTTCTTTCCTTTGCTTAGATTTCCCAAAGAGGAGTCTCGGAGGACGCTGTGTGGGTGAATGCCGTGTCCCACTCTCACGCTGCGGTTGGTAGTGAATGGACCCCTTCTGTCCACAGCTCTCTGTGCTCCCAGCACTTCCACGATAAACAGTTTGATCGAACCGGGCAGACGGTGCGGCTCAGGGACTCTGCGGTCCCTATGATATTTTCGACCTTCAGCTTTGCAAAGGTACTTACCATGGGTGAATTTTGAATGCCTTATGCTGGCCGCACAGTCATTTGATGTAATGTTCATGGTAATGGGCAGCACAGTGGCTAAACGGTTAGCACTTCCGCCTGGCAATACTAGGTTCAAATCTCAACCACGGCACCACCTGCCTGGAGTTTACATGTTCTCCCTGTGCCTGTGTGGGTTTCCTCTGGGTACTCCGATTTCCTCCCACACTCAAAAGGCTTGCTGGTAGGTTAATTGGCTCCTGTCTAAATTGTCCCTAGTATGTGCATGTATGAATGTGAGTTAGGGACTTTAAATTGTACACACCCCTTAAGGGTTAGGGACTGATGTGACTGTACAATATATATGTAAAGTGCTGCGCAAATTGACAGCACTGTATAGCGTATTTTTTGCTCCATAAGATGCACCTAGGTTTTAGAGGAAAAAAAAAAAAAAAAGAAAAAAAAATATTCTGAACCAAGACTACAGAACTAGTACAGGAGAGGACCAGAGACTGCGGACAGTACAGGAGATGACCAGAGACTGCGGACACAGTACAGGAGATGACCAGAGACTGCAGACACAGTACAGGAGATGACCAGAGACTGCGGACACAGTACAGGAGATGACCAGAGACTGCGGACATAGTACAGGAGATGACCAGAGACTGCGGACACAGTACAGGAGATGACCAGAGACTGCGGACACAGTACAGGAGATAACCAAAGACTGCGGACAGTACAGGAGATGACCAGAGACTGCGGACACAGTACAGGAGATGACCAGAGACTGCGGACACAGTACAGGAGATGACCAGAGACTGCGGACACAGTACAGGAGATGACCAGAGACTGCGGACACAGTACAGGAGATGACCAGAGACTGCGGACATAGTACAGGAGATGACCAGAGACTGCAGACATAGTACAGGAGATGACCAGAGACTGCGGATATAGTACAGGAGATGACCAGAGACTGGGGACGTAGTACATGAGATGACCAGAGACTGCGGACACAGTACAGGAGATGACCAGAGACTGCGGACAGTACAGGAGATGACCAGAGACTGAGGACACAGTACAGGAGATGACCAGAGACTGCGGACATAGTACAGGAGATGACCAGAGACTGCGGACACGGTACAGGAGATGACCAGAGACTGCGGACATAGTACAGGAGATGACCAGAGACTGCAGACAGTACAGGAGATGACCAGAGACTGCGGACACAGTACAGGAGATGACCAGAGACTGCGGACACAGTACAGGAGATGACCAGAGACTGCGGACACAGTACAGGAGATGACCAGAGACTGCGGACACAGTACAGGGGATGACCAGAGACTGCGGACACAGTACAGGAGATGACCAGAGACTGCGGACACAGTACAGGAGATGACCAGAGATGCGGACATAGTACAGGAGATGACCATAGACTGCGGACACAGTACAGGAGATGACCAGAGACTGCGGACACAGTACAGGAGATGACCAGAGACTGCGGACACAGTACAGGAGATGACCAGAGAATAATACGGTAAGTACCTGTAATAAATGAATAAATAAAACACATCAGCAATCAATTGCTCTACTTAGCATTTTACCTAAAATATGTTGCTTTTTTTGTTTTGTTTTTTTAAAGTTTGGTTTAGAAGGGTATCTATTCACCTTCTGTCCTATAGGCACAACAGGAAATCAAGCATAGACATACAGTAAGGACTTCTGACACTTTTTCAACTTTTCTGAATCACGTTAGTTTGGCGCGAGCATCTCAAAGCATTAAAGCCTATGGACCACCTTAAATCTGTAATTGATCCCAAAACAACTATGTAACATATTGCAGCTGACCAATCCTTACCCCCCCGGCGGTATTCCCGAGTGTAGCTCGGGGTTAAGTTTGAGTACCACAAGCGGTAACCTCGAGCTACACTCGGGAATACACTGCAGCGTTGCTCTGGGATCCCTCGAGCACTTACCTTGTCCTGTGGTCCCGCGATGTCCCCCCTGCAGCGTCCCCGACCATGTCCTCCGGCCGATGCCAGTATCTGTCTTCTGGGATCCGTTCCCTGCGAGCGTCGGGACATACGGGGGACGGAACCGGCGGGAAATTAAAAATTGTGACATTCACTCAATACACTAAAATCACATAGTAAAACATTGCTGTATCAAACCATTTCACATACATTTTGTCCCGAGTGCTTTGTCCGGCGCCCTGCCTGCATTTTTACTGTTCTTTCTGCCTGGAAACTGAGAAACATCCATGGCGTCCAAAAAGCGTCCCTTTAGGTCAAAAGTGGTTTTAGACCGGCTAGAGAACAGCGATAGTAAATCAGAACCACTTGCAGAATTGAGTGATAATGATTCGTGGGGGAAATTCCTCATCAGACACTGAAAACGATTCTGCGACTGAGCTCAGCGATGTGCGAACTTGGCGCTCTATATTTCAAATTTCAGTGTTTTTGGTTTGATTATATTATTGAATTAAATTTATTATATATTATTATTTTTTATGATTATTATATTATAATTTATGATTTCGTGTTTCAAATTTTATCATACCCGGGATGTTTACTAGACTCTTGTTCGGACAGATTTCAGTGAGTTATTCCTAAAAATTACAGGCCTACAATAAAAAAAATACATATTTCCATGCAAAAAAATGTACCGCTTTGAGCACAGAAATACTGACATAATCAGACCGCTAGGGAGGTTAAAGCAATACTAAAGGTTCAAGTTTTTTCTTTTAATTAAAATAACAAACGTGTTATACTTACCTGCTGTGTGCGGTGGTTTTGCACAGAATAGCCCGGATCCTCCTCTTCTCTGGTCCCCCATCGGCATTCCTGGCTCTTTCTTGCTATGGTGGCCCCCGAGCAGGTGTGCTCCTGAGCCGCTGCTCCATGTGTCCATTCACACAGGGAGCCACGGCTTGGCCCTGCCCCCCTAGCTCCTCATTGGCTCACTGGCTGTGATTAACCACTTGCCGCTCTGCCACTGTAGAAATAGGGCGGCACGGGCAGGTAAAAACCACGTTTTAAAACGTGTGTTTTGTAAATCGGTAGGAGGCGCGCCGCCGCCCTACCTGTCCCGCCGATCACAGCCGCGGATGTCAGTCGCCGGGTCACAGCCGGTCCTTACCGGCTATCTCCGGCGATCGGCGGCAATCAGTGACAGAGAGCACAGCTGCAGTAGCTATGCTTTCTGTCACTTCCCTGACAGCTGGAGGACAAGCTGATCGGGACAGAAGAGTTGCACTCTCCCGATCAGCCTGTCCCCTGCAGTACACAACCCCGCCCCCTAGTAAAACACTCCCCTCACACAGATAACCCTTCCCTGCAAAATAAACTTAACCCCTTCCTCCCCAGTGCCTTTAGTACAGTGTCAGTGTTTTTGTTTTTTTTTTTTGCACTGATCACTGTATTGGTGTCACTGGGGATGTCAGTACCCCCCCAGTGTCAGAATGTCCGCCGCAGTCCCGCCATAAGTCCCTGATCCCCGCCATAAGTCGCTGATCGCCGCCATTATTAGTATAAAAAAAACGAAAAATCCCAGTATCTTTCCCGCCATTTGTAAACGCTATAACTTTCACGTAAACCAATTAATTTACACGTATTGGGTTTTTTTTAGCAAAGACGTGTCGCAGAATGCATTTTGGCAGAAATTTATGACTAAATTTGATTTTTAAATTTTTTTTTACTGGACATGTTTTTATAGCAAAAAGTCCAAAATATTGTTTTTTTTTTTCCTCAAAATTGTCAGCCTTTTTTTTATAGTGCAAAAAATAAAAACCGCACAGGCGATCAAATACCACCGAAAGAAATTTTAACTTTTAATTGTAAATTTCATTTATGTACCATATTGCATGACCGCGCAATTGTCCGTTAAACTAGTGCAGCGCTGTATAGCAAAAAAATGGCGTAAATTGCAGTATCTGTACCACAGTTTGTAGACGCTATAACTTTCACACAAATCAATTTACACTTATTGGGATTTTTTTTACCAAAAACATGGAGCAGAATTCATTTTGGCCTAAATTTATAACCAACTTTGAGTTTACTATATATTTTTTATAGCTGAAAGTAAAAAATATTGTTTTTCTTCAAAATTTTTGGCCTTACTTTGTTTATAACGTGAAAAATAAAAAGCGCACAGGTGATCAAATACCACCGAAAGAAAGCTCTATTTGTGTGAAAAAAAGGATGTAAATTTCGTTTGGGTGCAGCATTGCAGGACCGCGCATTTATCAGTTGAATTAGTGCAGCGCCGAGTAGCAAAAAGAGGCGTGGTCAGGAAGGGGGGTAAATCCTCAGGAGGGCAAGTGGTTAACAGCAGCGGGAGCCAATGGCTCAGCCAATGAGGAGACAGAGACCCGGGACAGCCGACGTTCTTGTGCTTGATCGTGATGGGGCTCACGTAATTATTAGGGGGCTGAGGGAACTGCTGCCCACAGAAGGTTTTTTACCTTCATGCATATAGTACATATTTTTACATTTTCACCCGGTGATCCTGTCTTAGGGTGTCTCCGCTCTGAATGGGAGAGTCATCCTTGGACAGCAGCATTGTCAGCTTGCGGGGAGGGTAGTGTTAGATGCAGATTTAAATGAGCTTGTCTAAAATGAGTGACAGCAGCATTTATTTATTTTTTTTCGGTGTAAAGGTTTTACGTAAATGAATAAAATCTGATCATTGTAAGCACCCCTGTCGGTGGTAAATGGTTTGTCTTCTCTCTCTGACTCCAGTTTTGCCGGAGAGCTTGGTGTGTTAAAGGAAGGTGAAATTTTTTTTATTTTTTGATCTTGCCACACTTCCTGCTCCTGAATGCCAACACTTCCTGTACAGTATATTTGGAATAGCATTGTTGTCACCCCCTTCCTCTTCTTCATAACATTGTGGGGAGGTGTCCTGTAGTCCATAGAGGTTACTTGGGCATTAAGATAACAGGAAGTTACATTTTATTTCAGGACAGGTTTACGTTAATATCATAGGACTTATCATTATGTGACTAAGTATTCTTCTTGGTTCCTGGTGATTTGTTAGGCTAACTCTTCCACTTTCTCTACATTCCAGATGCCAAGACACTGCTCCGCTCTCGGCTGCACCACTCGGGATTCTCGGCTGACCAGGGAGAACAACATCTCATTTCACAGGTCAGCTCAGTTTCTTTTTTGCAAGAGGACCTGTACTGTATAAGCTACAAAAAAGAAAGGCAGAGGACGAGGGGCTAGTCATGAGTATTGCCTGTGGGTTCCCTGGAGTTGATCGTTGCCCCACTGCTGATTTACTTTGCCTTGGTATGCGCTATGTCTCTGAGTGGAGGCAGCCATCTTTGTAGAGGCAGGGCTATACTTCCTTATGTCCCAGTCACCTCTTTGAGGACTGGATTATGATGGGGAAGCACAGACCTGGAGAACAAATGAAACAAAAGCAGGGAGTTACTTGCGCTACAAGTCCTCAGAAACAGCTTCCTCTTCAGCAGGGAGAACAGCGTTCAGCACAATAGTGACAACAGCAAATCTCACTCTAAATCTTGTAAAAGATGCAGTCTGAGGCTGGAGTGCGTAGGCACATTTACAGGCCAGGAAGTGAATTGCAATTTCTTAGAAAGATATTAACAACTCATATGTCGTCTGTCCTCCCATAACATGCCCCATGCGCAGCCGTGTGGCTGGGCTGCAGGCGTCACCAGTCACTGGTTGTGTCCACTAGACACAGCTGATTACAGTTCACTGTACCAGTCCGCTGCCAGTACCATGTGGTCTCTGTGACCAATCATAGCAGATCACATGACAATTGTAAACAATAATTTGCTTTGATTCATGCCATTCTTCGTGTACAGTTGTGTTGCTAGCTGTGATTGATCACAGTGATCACATGGTACAGACAGGGCCAATCACAGCCCATCTGTACTATGTGATTGGCTTTGGCCAATCACAGCCCATCTGTACTATGTGATTGGCTTTGGCCAATCACAGCCCATCTGTACTATGTGATTGGCTTTGGCCAATCACAGCCCATCTGTACTATGTGATTGGCTTTGGCCAATCACAGTCCATCTGTACTATGTGATTGGTTTTGGCCACTCACAGCCCATCTGTACTATGTGATTGGCTTTGGCCACTCACAGCCCATCTGTACTATGTGATTGGCTTTGGCCCCTCACAGCCCATCTGTACTATGTGATTGGCTTTGGCCAATCACTGCCGATCTAAACTATGTGATTGGTTTTGGCCAATCACAGCCCATCTGTACTATCTGATTGGCTTTGGCCACTTGCAGCCCATCTGTACTATGTGATCGGCTTTGGCCACTCACAGCCCATCTGTACTATATGATTGGCTTTGGCCAATCACTGCCCATCTAAACTATGTGATTGGCTTTGGCCAATCACAGCCCATCTGTACTATGTGATTGGTTTTGGCCACTCACAGCCCATCTGTACTATGTGATTGGCTTTGGCCACTCACAGCCCATCTGTACTATGTGATTGGCTTTGGTCAATCACAGCCCATCTATACTATGTGATTGGATTTTGGCCCCTCACAGCCCATCTGTACTATGTGATTGGCTTTGGCCAATCACTGCCTATCTAAACTATGTGATTGGCTTTGGCCAATCACAGCCCATCTGTACTATCTGATTGGCTTTGGCCACTCGCAGCCCATCTGTACTATGTGATTGGCTTTGGCCAATCACTGCCCATCTAAACTATATGATTGGCTTTGGCCAATCACTGCCCATCTAAACTATGTGATTGGCTTTGGCCAATCACAGCCCACCTGTACTATCTGATTGGCTTTGGCCAATCACAGCTAAGCACAACAATGCATACTAAATGAATCTGTTTCATTTAGTGACAATGCTGGCTTATAGCAGTGAAATTCACAAGCAATCATAATGTGTAAAAAAAATAAAAAATAAATAAATAATCCTATGGTAACATTTAAGAAAAAAAAATTTATAAAGAAAAGAAAATGAAAAATGTAATGTTTTTTGTCGTATTCTCAGCAGTCAGTGTCCTTGATCACTGCCACACCAGTTATATGATGACACTGTACTGTACTGTTGACCGTAAAAAAAGATTTTTTTGTTTTTAATTTCTTCATTTTCAAAAAAAATTAAAAAATATTAGAACTTCAGAAAACTCACCATGCCTCGTACGAAATACCTCAGACTGTCTACTTTCCAAAAAGGGGACATTTGGGGGATATCTGTACTGTCCTGACATTTTTGGGTCTCAAGAAATGAGATCGGCCTTCAGTACTTCAGGATTGATCAATTTTCGGATACATCCCATAGTTTGTGGACTCTATAACTTGCACACGAACTAAATAATAAACACTGATTTGGGTTATTTTCACCAAAAAAAATATAGCAGAATACATATGGGTCTACATTTATGAAGGACAATTATTTGTTTGCAAAACTTTTTAACACAAACAGAAAAATGTCAGGCTCTTTTTTTAAAAAATGTTTAGTCTTTTTTACGTTTATTTAGAAAACAATAAAAAACCTGTTTGTGGTTAAATACCACAAAAAAAAAGCTATGTTTGTGTGGAAAAAAATGAGTAGCATGTTGCATGGCTGCGCAATTGTCATTCAAAGTTCGACAACGCTAAAAGCTTAAAATTGGCCTGGGCAGAAAGGAGGTTAAAGTGCCCGTTATTGACGTGGGCAAGTGGAAGAGTTTTCTTAGTACTGCTTTGACAAAATTAGACTTTTTATACAAGCGCTATAAGATAGCAGATCTTCACTTTTTTGGGGTTAGATCCACTTTCAGTATATGGATATGTAGATTATTGGGTCTCCTTCATAAAATCTGCAGAACTAGGAAGTGAAGGTCATTGCCAGGGATGCACCGAAATTTCAGTGGCCTGATGATCAGTGTAGCCCCATCAGTGCCACCTGTCAGTGTCCAGCAGTGCCACCTGTCGGTGCCCATCAATGCCACATATCAGTGCCCACCTGAGCTGCCTTTCAGTGCCAACTATCATTGCCAGTCAGTGCCACCTATCAGTACCAGTCAGTGCTGCCTGTCAGTGCCAGTTAGTGCCGCGTATCAGTGCCACCTATCAATGTCATATATGAGTGCTGCCTTTCAGTGCCCATCAGTGATGTCTGTCAATGCCCATCAGTGCCTCCTACCAGTGTCTCCTCATCCGTGCCCATCAGTGCAGCCTATCAGTGCCCATCACTGCAGCCTCATTAGCGCACATCAGTGAAGGAGAACAATCACTTGTTTACAAAATTTTATAACAGAAACTTAAGAAAAAACTTTTTTTTCCCAAAATTTTCTGCTGTTTTTGGTTTGTTTAGCAAAACATAAAAATACCATCAAAAGAAAGCTCTGTCTCAAAAAAATTATAACAAAGTCATATGAGTACAGTGTTGCATGACCGCGCAATTGTCATTCAAAGTGTGAGAGCGCTGAAAGCTGAAAATTGGCCTGGGCAGGAAGGGGGTAAAAGTGCCCGGTAGGCGAGGGGTTAAAGAGGGGTGGGCTCCCTTCAGGCAAACTTGCCCAGGATCTATCCACTACTATGTGCTTCAACCTGAGAGACTCAAAATTACAGAGTTAGGACTGCAGTACACTGGGGTGCCTTGACGTGGCCACTGCTGCTTACACATATATTTGCAAATGTTTGCGACTAAACCCCTTGTTTTTACCATGAATTGTTAGGGTCAGTTTGGTTTTGTTGCAAGCTAGCTATTAAGGTAGCTGGAAATTTTTGTTTTTGATGTGTGTTGCCCTTCTATGTGCTCCTTGCTGCACAGGCTAGTATATGTTGGGGTGGTTGCCATTTGTTTATATGTCATGAGTGCTCTGCACTTTGTTTTCTTGGATTGGCAATTTTTTTTAAAACACAGGAGGGGAGGATTTGTTAATAATAATAATAATAATAATAATAATTATAATAATAATAATAATAATAATAATAATAAAAAAAACAAAAACCTACTGTTCCAATTTCAGTATAATCCTTTAGATTGTAAGCTCCACAAGCCGGGCCCTCCTATTCCTTCTGTACTGAAATGTATTGTAATTGTACCGTCTCCCTTATATTGTAAAGTACTGCGCAAACTGTTGGCGCCATAAATCCTGTATAATAATAATTCAACAGGCACTTTTTTCTCTATATGTAAATATATGGCGAGGGCTGATATGAGAAAAACAACAAGCTTCTAGCACAAGAGACAGTGAAAACGGATCTCATAAACAAATATATAAAAAGAGTGCAGCGCATAAATGTATAATAAAAGAAATTATATCGCCGGTGCAAGTTATATGATAAGAATCACACAAATGTAAACTGAATGCAAAATGGTCAATCCATAAGCTAAGTACTGCAATTAGCACATAAATAACATCCAAAAACAAAACAGTGTGAATAAAGTGAAGTCATGTGTCCGTGGCACTACAAAACACAGCAAACACAGCAGTGTAGAGTCCCAGATAAATCAATCTAAGTGACAAAAATAATGTATCCGTGGCACTACAAGGCACAGTAGTGTACAATGCAAAATGAGTGCTGTGGAATCCAGTGAGACCATCCATCATCGCTATGTACTCACCAGAAAGCTACTGGTATAGCAGCAATGTATAAACTCTCAGATAGAGAACTGAAATCTTTAACCAGAAAGGACTTCTCCAGAAAGCTACTGGTATGGCAGCATTGTAAAACCTCTCTCAGATGGAGACTTGGAATCTTTAACCAGAAAGGACTTCTTCAAAGGAAGAAACCCTGAGGACGTGCATGTGCACGAAACGCATTTGGAGGAGCCTACGTGCTGATGTCACGCCGCCGCACACTGCAAGACAGAGTAGTGTTCAATTCAAATTGAGTGCTGTGGAATCCAGTGAGACCATCCACGACCACTATGCACTCACCAGAAAGCTACTGGCATGAGGATAAAACATTCCATGTGGAGATATGATATAAACATGTGTCTTTACACATACTAAGATGGCCGCCACTTCTGTTCATGAAAACGGTGGCGTGACGTCAGCACGTAGGCTTCAACCAACGGGTTTCGTGCACATGCACGAAAAACCTCTCTCAGATTGAGACTTGGAATCTTTAACCAGAAAGGACTTCTCCAGAAAGCTGCTGGCATGGCAGCATTGTAAAACCTCTCTCAGATGGAGATTTGGAATCTTTAACCAGAAAGGACTTCTAAGGAAGAAATCTCACCACCAGAGCCCAGAAATCGATATATAGTGTAGTACTTTATTTGTATGAGGATAAAACATTCCACGTGGAGATATAAAACAAACGTGTCTTTACACATACCAAGATGGCCGCCGCTTCTGTTCACGGATGCAGCAGCGTGACGTCAGCTTGTAGGCTCCACCCAACGGGTTTCGTACGCATGCACGAAAAACCTCTCTCAGATGGAGACTTGGTATCTTTAACCAGGAACGACTTCTCCTAAGGAAGGAAGCTCACCACCAGAGCCCAGAATTTGTTATATAGTGTAGTACTGTATTTGTATGAGGATAAAACATTCCACGTGGAGATATAAAACAAACATCTGTCTTTACACATACCAAGATGGCCGCCGCTTCGGTTCACAGACGAGGCGGTGTGACGTCAGCATGTAGGCTCCACCCAACTGGTTTCGTGCACATGTACAAAAAACCTCTCACAGATGGAGACTTGGAATCTTTAACCAGAAAGGACTTCTCCTAAGGAAGGAAGCTCACCACCGGAGCCCAGAAATCGATATATAGTGTAGTACTTTATTCGTATGAGGATAAAACATTCCATGTGGAGATATAAAACAAATGTGTCTTTACACATACCAAGATGGCCGCCGCTTCTGTCCACGGACGTGGCGACGTGACGTCAGCACGTAGGCTCCACCCAACGGGTTTCATGTGCATGCACGAAAAACCTCTCTTAGATGGAGACTTGTAATCTTTGACCAGAAAGAACTTCTCCAGAAAGCTACTGGTATGGCAGCTTTGTAAAACCTCTCTCAGATGGAGATTTGGAATCTTTAACCAGAAAGGACTTCTCCTAAGGAAAAAAGCTCACCAAAGGAGCCCAGAAATCGATATATAGTGTAGTACTTTATTTGTATGAGGATGACTTCAGCACGTAGGCTTCACCCCAACGCGTTTCGTGCACTTGCACGTCCTCAGGGTTTCTTCCTTTCTTCCAGTGGCTTTCCGGTGAGTGCATAGCAGTGGTGGATGGTCTCACTGGATTCCACAGCACTCATTTTGAATTGAACACTACTGTACCTTGTAGTGGCACAGATACATTATTTTTGTCACTTAGATTGATTTATCTGGGACTCTACACTGCTGTGTTTTGTAGTGCCACGGACACATGACTTCACTTTATTTACACTGTTTTATTTTTGGATGCTATTTATGTGCTAATTGCAGTACTTGCCTTATGGATTGACCGTTTTGCAATTAGTTTACTTTTTTCTGTATAATTAAAGGTTACCAAGAAAAGAGGACCCTCGGCGAAACCTGTGGATTGCGAACTGCAGAAGAACGGACCCAAGCGGTAATGGGCTTTGGGACCCCTCCTCAGAATATGTGTACTTCTGCTCTAGGCACTTTGAGAAGAACTGTTTCGAAGTAACAGGAATAAGGTATGCATATTCACTGTTTTAGAACGGGAAGAAATATATCAGATTTGGTCTCAAATTGTACTTGTTTTACCAAGTAATGATAATTGGGTATTGAGTGTATTAGGCCAATGCTAACTGTACTCGCTGCAGGAATTTAAAGCGGAACTTCACTCTCATCACCATGGACTATTTTTAATCCTTATGCTGCTAGCATTAGTAAATGGATGGAAAAATATATCATATTTACTTGTTTTCATTAGTTTTTTACATTTCTTTAGTTACTTCCTGGTTTCCATGCCTAGGCAAATGATGTCATACATCCCAGGAGTCTTCAGGAGGGGAGGGAGGGAGGGTTCTCAGCTCAGCTAATGCCTGCGTTAAGGGCAGATGGATTCCAGGAAGTAAATGCGACATGAATCATCTACCCTTAGGCTAGGTTCACATCTGTGCGGGTTGTGCCGCTGCGGATCCGCACGAAAATCCATGCAGCCGCACCACCCGCACAGAGGAATGTGGACCCACGGGTGGGTGCCATTAGTTCTAATGGCACGCCGCCCGCACTGGAAAACGCAACCGTACTGGGTACCGAGGTTCCCATGCGGGCTGATTTTCGGAAGAAATGCAGGGACGTCTTCCCTGCGTGTCACGGGCATGGGAGTCTTTTCAAATGAATGGGCTCTCGTGCCCGTGCAAAACGCGGCCCGCACTGCCGCATATATGTGAACCAAGGCTTACTCACAATTGACACTGCCAGAAATGCCAGGAGGTGTTTTTCAAAATGATTTCTTAGAAAAATAAAGCATGGAGACATGGATGGACGAGTGAGTTTGCTTTTAATATTAAAAATGAATTAAAGTGTTACTAAACCCACAACAGTACAATCAGTCTGTAGATGCAGTAAAGTATGCTTGTTATACTCACTGTGGAACCTAAGGGGTTGATCCTCTACATTATGTAAAAAGGCTGTTTGATCCTGACTTCTCTGGTCCTCCTTTTCTTCTAATGACCGGATATAGTGAATGCAGGGTCCGGGGAGAGCAGATATAGTGAATGCAGGGTCCGGGGGAGAGCGGATATAGTGAGTGCAGGGTCCGGGGAGACCGGATATAGTGAATGCAGGGTCCGGGAAGACCAGATATAGTGAATGCAGGGTCCAGGGAGAGCAGATATAGTGAGCGCAGGGTCCAGGGAGACCAGGTATAGTGAGCGCAGGGTCCAGGGAGAGCGGATATAGTGAATGCAGGGTCTGGGGAGAGCAGATATAGTGAATGCAGGGTCTGGGGAGAGCAGATATAGTGAATGCAGGGTCCAGGGAGAGCGGATATAGTGAATGCAGGGTCCGGGGAGAGCAGATATAGTGAATGCAGGGTCTGGGGAGAGCGGATATAGTGAATGCGGGGTCTGGGGAGACCAGATATAGTGAATGCAGGGTCCAGGGAGAGCGGATATAGTGAATGCAGGGTCTGGGGAGACCAGATATAGTGAATGCAGGGTCCGGGGAGACCGGATATAGTGAATGCAGGGTCCGGGGAGACCGGATATAGTGAATGCAGGGTCCGGGGAGACCGGATATAGTGAGTGCAGGATCCGGGGAGAGCGGATATAGTGAGTGCAGGATCCGGGGAGAGCGGATATAGTGAATGCAGGGTCCGGGGAGAGAGCGGATATAGTGAATGCAGGGTCCGGGGAGAACGGATATAGTGAATGCAGGATCCGGGGAGAGCGGATATAGTGAATGCAGGGTGCGGGGAGAGCGGATATAGTGAATGCAGGGTCTGGGGAGAGCGGATATAGTGAATGCGGGGTCCGGGGGAGAGCGGATATAGTGAATGCAGGGTCCGGGGAGACTAGATATAGTGAATGCAGGGTCCGGGGAGAGCGGATATAGTGAATGCGGGGTCCGGGAGAACGGATATAGTGAATGCAGGATCCGGGGAGAGCGGATATAGTGAATGCAGGGTCCGGGGAGAGCGGATATAGTGAATGCAGGGTCCGGGGAGAGCGGATATAGTGAATGCAGGGTCCGGGGAGAGCGGATATAGTGAATGCAGGGTCCGGGAGAGCGGATATAGTGAATGCAGGGTCCGGGGAGAGCGGATATAGTGAATGCAGGGTCCGGGGGAGAGCGGATATAGTGAATGCGGGGTCCGGGGAGAGCAGATATAGTGAATGCAGGGTCCGGGGAGAGCGGATATAGTGAATGCAGGGTCCAGGGAGACTAGATATAGTGAGTCCAGGGTCCGTGGAGAGCGGATATAGTGAATGGCAGGGTCCGGGGAGAGCGGATATAGTGAATGCAGGGTGCGGGGAGAGCGGATATAGTGAATGCAGGGTCCGGGGAGAGCGGATATAGTGAATGCAGGGTCCGGGGAGAGCGGATATAGTGAATGCAGGGTCCGGGGAGAGCGGATATAGTGAATGCAGGGTCCGGGGAGAGCGGATATAGTGAATGCAGGGTCCGGGGAGAGCGGATATAGTGAATGCGGGGTCCGGGGAGAGCAGATATAGTGAATGCAGGGTCCGGGGGAGAGCGGATATAGTGAATGCAGGGTCCAGGGAGACTAGATATAGTGAGTCCAGGGTCCGTGGAGAGCGGATATAGTGAATGGCAGGGTCCGGGGAGAGCGGATATTGTGAATGGCAGGGTCCGGGGAGAGCGGATATAGTGAGTGCAGGGTCCTGGGTTTGGTAACATTTTAAACAGCATTTTTAGTTTGTGATGCTCAGATGCAGTGCAGTTCCACTTTAATATATAGTTACTCTGGTGAAGAGAGAGGTCCTGTGTTGAGTGTGTCTGACTTTCTACATAAAGGAGATTTCTTCTCACATCATACTGGAACAAAGAGACAGGAAATTAGGAGAATATCTCCAACTGGGATATGGACAACAGTAAAACCACTTTCTGTCTGTAGAGTGGGCTATGGTTCGGACAGGTGTTGTCCACCCTTCCTGTTGTGTCACCAGGAATGGAAGTGGTGAAAAATCTCCCCAGGGCCTTCATGCACCACAGCAATATCTGGAAGAAGAGCTGAAATTCTAACCAGTTAGTCAATTTGACTGCTTTATACCTTTTGTCACATATAGGAAATGCATTGTGGCTTTGTAATGAAGTAAATATGAAACATTCCATATTAATATCATAAATCAAAAAATGTAGCGCTACAGACCCAAGATATTCCAATGAAGACAGATAGGTGATTCATATGAAAATAAAATAAACATAAACATAACAGTTCATAAAAAGGGTGACTTTTAGTGATTTCTTCTCTGTCCTATACTTCTGGTGCTCAAGGCGTTGTGCAAAATAGTGCTGAGAGAATGCACACACACTCACCAGAACGCCCAGGAAAATGAGCGTTTAGTAATTATTATATTCCCCTTGGAGACATCAGCCGGTCAGGATAAGATAGTGTGCTAGCCTCCTCAAGAGCTCCTGTAAGTTACTGTGTGATCCCTCGGTAGGTGGCCTGTGGACTTCTCCTTGGGGACCACATACGTTCCTTACCCAGCGATGGCTGCAAATGAATACTCCCCAGGGAGTCAAAACAAGGACGCCTCCATAGTGTAGTAGGTGATAACAGAGGTTTTTATTACATAAAGCATCCAAGGTACACAGCGTGTATACAAAAAACGGACTGACCGTCCAGTGGTAAAGATGGCCGCCGGAGCTCCACGATGCTCCGGCGGCGTGACGTCACGGCGTTCCTGGCTCCTCCTACGCGTTTCGTGCACACAACCACTCGTCGTCTGGGGGGATTTGCCAATGAACGCCGAGCCGTGCGTCGTACATTTTATATGCTATGCGCATGCGCAGTAGAGAAGGCGCCATATTCTAGAAGTGCGACCTGAAGACACCCGGATCCCGATATGGGCGCCATTTTTCATTAGTTCAATGCTTATTCATACCGTTACAATAGCAGCATGTAAAGCCGGCCAGCTGTCATTATTATTAATAACCAGTACTACAACCCCTTAATGGTCTCACTTCGGTGTTTAATCCAACTCCCAATTTCATATATATTAGGTATGTACCTTCCAATTGACCACATTAAAGGGCAAAACGAATCATGCAGTATGTATAGCGCTAGCATATAAACCACTTCATAAAAGTTCATATACATATAATATTCATAAAAAAACAGAGAAATCTACAGAGTAGGCAACAAAATAATGGGCATACATAAGTCCATACTAAAAAATATACATAAAATTGTACATAAAATACATGCAAATGACTGTATCCTTTTAATTGTTAACCAGTGCCAATCAGTGACACTAGGAATATAAAAAACTAAAACTGAACCAGGGAACAGTAAGCACAAAATTTACGATAAAAATAATATCATACATAATCCAATTCTCTCAATATGACGATAAAACATCCATAAAATACAATAAAAAAGAGAGGATCCATAGAGTTTTAGCTATTTTTTGATAAAAACAATTTAGATCTATGTCTATATTGTGGCCTTTAGGGTGTAAAGTCTGCAGCTCATATATCCCGCGTGTTTCGAGTTTGCGAGACTCCACGCAATTTATTTACTCTCCCCTCCAATGGGTTGTACTATATACTATCCCAACAAACGTGTAAGATGATGGGTCATTTGTGCTTACATTTAAAATGAATAAGACAATGAGTGATCTTTATACCCCTTTTTAATGTTTTGTTGATATTTCTCTCTCAGTCTATCACGTAGCGTTCTCTGGTAGGTACGTCCCACATACTGGAGTTTACAAGAACATTCAAGAAGATATACCACATTTTTACTGTAGCAGGTTATGCATTTATCTAATTTGTACGTTCATCCTGTGGTGTTTGAAGAAAAAGTAAATTGTTTTTCTGTTTTCCTTACGTTATTCGTCGTACCAAATAACGCACTTGTTACAAGGAAAGAAAAACCTGTTATGTTCGATTGCCAAACGGATCTGTCTCTGTTGTATTCTTTTTTAAGCCAGCAGATGGAGTTTTTATGCCCTTGTCACATTTTCAGGGTTTTTTTTTTTCTTAGCTTCTTTGATGGTAAAGGACCGTTGTTTATCTGAGCTCAGTACCTCAAGAGCCATGCGACTGACCCGTCCTTAATTGGAGGGCTGGATTCTAGAAATTTCAATTTAGAAAAGCCAGAGTCTCAAATAAGAGTCCTGAGCACGTGCTGTGCTAATCTTGCATTAAATGATTATTTAAGGCGATTCTTTGAAAAAAACTACTTCCTCAGGGAAAGCCTACCCCCACCTCCAACCTAAGAGATACTGTACTCGTGAAATCACCTCCCACCAGATCATTCCCCCACAGCTATCACCTTTTTGTATTCACCTCAGCCCTTCCTTTAGATTGTAAGCTCCCAGGATCAGGGCGCCTCCTGATCCCTCTTGGTATTGAACTGTATTGTAGCTTGTATGGTCTCCCGTTTATATTGTAAAGTGCTGAGCAATACTGTTGGCTCCATAAATGCAGTATAATAATAATAATATATAAATCCTGTATAATAATAAGAATATATAAATTCTGTATAATAATAGATAATAAATAAATAATAATAAGAGCCTGTATAATATATAAATAATATAGAAATCCTGTATAATATTACTCATAATAATAATATAAATAATAAATAAATCCTTTATATTAATATTCTTTTTTAATAATCCGTGTATACGAAAAATAATATTTAATATATAAATCCTTGTATAATAATAATAATAATAATAGATAAATACCTGAATAATATAATATAATAATTAATATATATAAATCCTATATAATAATATATAAATCCTGTATAATATTGTAATAATTTGTATAATAACAGGATTATGTATGTTGCGTTGTATTAAAAAAGCTATAAAAAGTATATACTTGGCAATTATTCTAATTTAAAGTATAAATTGACCTAAAGCCTTATAGCTTCCCTTTAGGTAATCAATCTGTACTTTATCTGGGTCTTGTCTATTGGTCTTATTGCTATCATCGTCTGAAGGAAGTCGGCCCACTTCCAGCCCTATATTTACACCTTACAACATTAACCCCAGAGGGGTATACTCCAAAATCAAGGCACACAAAAGTAAGAAAACAACAAAGGCAAAAAGTAAAAAGGAAATTGTGCGATAATCGCCCTTCACCCTTTTAATTGACGGACACTCTGGGAAATCCTTTTCTAGTTCTGTGATATATATGTTGCTTGAAAAAGTTCGAGACAGGGGGTTCTCCTATTTTTTCACTGCAGGCAGCTGGGGGAGGGCAGCAAGTACAGTAAAGGTGGTTCTTTTACCTTGCATGGTCAAAGCACAGGTATTGTTTTAAAAGGTCTGCAGAATGCCAGAAACTCCAGGCCAAATCTATTATTCCCTGGAATCTAATTTTTTTTTTTTTTTGCCAACATACTGTATAATATATTTGTGGCTTACTTTTTATACTTATAGCTGCAAGGCATCCCTGTCTGTTGCCATAGTTCATACAGCCATCCACTCTGAAAACATTTAGGCACCTCTTTCCTCTCTTTGACCTGTGATTGGGCTGTCGAAGGAGAATGGGAACATCAATTGGCGTCACCTGTTCAGCGTACCCCTCCCACCCCCCCCCTCCTTGTAAGAGCAGTGGGTATCTGTGTTAGACTGAAATCGCAGTGAGATTGGCTTAATTGCTACCACCTCATTCTCACCTTTCTGAGTGTTTGCCATACACAGGAAGATTGCTGTAGGTTGGATATAAAGAAGATCGAGGGCAATTTGTGCTGAATCACAGTTAAATATAATTTTATCAGTTTCAGGTAAATTATAAAGCGCCGCCCAATATACGCAGCGCTTGACATATAGATGTGACATTCACATCAGTCCCCTAACCCACAAGGGGTGTACAATCTAAGGGTCCCTAACCCTCAAGGGGCGTCACAATCTAAGGTCACTGTAACCCTCAAGGGCGTACAAATCTAAGGTTCCCTAACCCTTCAAGGGGGTTGTACAATCTAAGGTTCCTAACTCTCAAGGGGCGTACCAATCTAAGGTCCCTAACCCCTCGAGGGGCGTACAATCTAATCAAAGGTCCCTAACCCTCGAGGGGCGTACAATCTAAGGTCCCTAACCCAGGCGAGGGGCGGGTACAATCTAAGGTTCCTAACCCTCAAGGAGCATACAATCTAAGGGTCCCCTAACCCTCAAGGGGTGCTACAATCTAAGGTCCCTAACTCCACATTCATACATACACATACTAGGGACAAGTTTAGACAGAGGCCTAATCACACCTACCAGCAATGTTTCTTTGGAGTGTGGGAGGAAAACCGGAGTACCCAGATGAAGCCCACGCAGGCACAGGGAGAACATGACAAACTTCAGGCAGGTGGTGCCGTGGTTGGGATTACAAACCAATGATCCTAGTACTGCCAGACGGGAGTGCTAACCCATTTAGCCACTGTGCTGCCCGTAATAAATATTATCTTTAATGACTCATAACCAGAATTGCTTTGAGTTTTGACTTTAAGTAGATGTCATCCCCTAGCTGAATGACATTTTAGAGGCCTCATGCACACAGACAATCTAGAGCAGTGTTCCTCAATCTTTTTTTCAGTCAAAGAGCACCCCTTTAAACTTATGGACAGTCCCGAAGGCACCTTTAAAATTACGGACAGTCTTTGAGGCTTTCCTATATTCTAAAAAATGGGTGTGCCTCAAGACTGTCCATTGGGACAACCCAACGTTAGAGGTGATTTATTCTTCTCAAAGCAAATACACTTTTGCACACTGGTACTGACTAGCTATTCCAATGTTTCTCTTCCACCTTATTTTTTCTGCCCATCATTGAGCTAATGTGACCCCAGCATTGATGGGGGGGGGAGGGGTCACACTAGATAACTGTGCCCAGGCAGCAGACATCCTCCTTATCAACTGATGATGTCATTGGTTGTCAGACGCCGGCGGCTAGAAGGTGGTAATGGTGCACAATGGAAACCTGTGGCTTTGTGGTAACTAAGAAGGCGGGCTTGTTCCACCCGCTGGCTTGTATATAGTTTGTTTTTGGGCAATTTTTAGACATTTTGCCAAGGCACCCCTGAAGAAATCTCAGGGCAATCCCTGGGTCCTTTCTTCTACCAGTGGTATGTGTCAGACTGGTGAGCTCTGGACTACCCATCTGGGAAAATACACCCCATATTTGGTTAATATGGCATACTGCATTTACAACCTAAATATTCATCACCTACAGCCATCAACCAGTGAGCTTTGAAGAGGAATTTCTTTTTTTTTTTCTATTTTGATGGAGAGAAGGATCCTCACTCTTTGTATGGAAGCAATGGTCTCTCTGAAGAGGTCCAACTTACACTCTGCTGAGTCAAAGCTAAATCTATCCAATCAGCAGGGAGCATCATGAGCTTTGCTACTCAGAGATCTTTTTTTTATCAAGCAAACCTTTTATTGAGAGGAACAGATATGCAGCCACATCACATATTCAGTGAAAACAAACACAGGTCTATTAGACAAGCGAGTAATGCATTATACAGGTTGTAGAGCCTTTACCACAGGCAAGGAAAGGAGGACTAGCATGATAGCAACCAACCAGGGGCGGACTGACCATTTGGAAACTCGGGCACTGCCCAAGGGCTCGGGGTCAGTAGGGGGCCCCATGAGATGCCCCTGGTACCTTTTTCATAGGCTTTTTTGAGTTTGGGCAAGGACACAGGGGCCCCATGATCCCCTATTGCCTGGGGGCCCCACGAGTTGTCAGTCCACCCCCGATTTAGACAATTGAATTGGTGTCAAGTAGGTTCTATGTATAATATATAGCTGAGTAAGACGGTCCGACAACCTCGGGGAAACCATCTTAGTCGAGGACAACACCTCCCATATTTCATCATATCATCCAGCTCCCCCACGTCCACCTCCCAGCAGGTTTTAAGGCGATATGCCAATAATGATGCAGAAGGTGAGAGCAAAGCATTATAGAATGTTTTCATGAGTTTCTTCGTTTCCGTGCCCAAAATCACATCCAAAAGACAATTAGAGTTGGGTTGTAAAACAGAGTCACCAAACTGGTCCCGCAGAGCATGACGGAGCTGGAGATAACAAAAAAAAACATAAAGTTGGGGAGGTCATATTCCCCTTTGAGGTCTTGAAAAGATTTGACGCTTCTCAGAGATCTTTAGCCTTGACTCAGCAGAGGGCATGTCAAACCTCTGCAGAGAGACAACTGCTTCCATACAGAGAATGCTGGCAAAGCACTTTCTTTTCTACCCAGGCTGTGTCTGCTTCCGAAAGAAAACAAACTGAAAGACTGCACGCCTTTTGCTTTGATTTACCTAGAATGTATTTATCTTAGAAGTGAAAGTTGAATGGGCTTCAAAGGGTTGGATCACCTTTCCTGCACATTTCCAGCACCCCCCCCCCCCCCCCCCCCGTACATTCCAGCATCCCCAGCTCATTACATAACACTACCTTTCTTTTAAAAAAAAGGTGTTCCTTTTCCAGTCCATTTCAATAGGCCATGTGCAGCCTGTCTGCAAAAACTCCTATGTAGCCGAATTTAGACAAGGCAGGCCGGAGGTTAGAAGAGCTTCTAGAAGGCACCCTGGCTCATTCAGACTGCATGCATGCGCAGTGTGTTTCATCTCCCTATAGCAGCAGCAGCTGAGCTCAGCGCTGTGCATCAGAGCGAAAGAGAGCTACGTGGGAGTTTTTTGCGGCCAATCCGCAAATGGCCTACCATAAAGAAGTGGAAAAGAAGCACCTTAGCTGAGCTGCGATATGAAATGAGCTGGGGATGTTGAGATGCATAGGGTGCTTTTGTTAGAAATGTGCAGCAATGGTGAACAAACTCTTTAAAGCAGCGGTTGTTCAACCTGTGGCCTACGGGCCACATGTGACCCTCGGAGCCCTCTGATGTGGCCCTCGACCTCAAACCAGGGAAGCTCATGCCCATGTTTGGAATGACGGTTCGGCAAGCCCAGAACGTGTTTATTGGGTTGCCAACCTGCCATCCCAGTGCATCAGAGGGCATAGAGCCGGCAGCGGAGGAAGCAGAAGGAAGCCATGGAGGGAGCAGGAGCTGCATAAGTCGATGCTTCCTGTGTAGCAGCGGCTCCTTTCCAAGTCAGAGTGATGCCAAGTGCACTTCACCGGGGACCATTCTAGCAGCCTGGAGAACGATGCCAGCAGGAAGAAAAAAAATGTTTCTACAGTTTTCACACTGATCCACAGGTACAGTGCTGTGCACCTTCGGCTTTCCTGCGGGTCGGCTGCACTGAGCCATAAATTTCTATTATATCCTGCAGGTTTGGTGCATTTTCTGAAAGCATCTAACCTGCAGGAAAGCCGCATGTGCACTACGCTACACCCACGGTGCAGGTAAACCGCAGCATGTCAGTGTGAAAGCAGCCTTATAGGGGGATCAGGACAGTAAGGGCTTTGTTTACATTTGTGATTTGGGGGGGGGTAAAACTCCATAGTTCATTGTGACCCATGATCAGTTACCAAATCATTTAATTGGCTTTCGCTTTTCAAAAAATTTGAGCAGCCGTGCTTTAAAGGCTAAGTTTACCTTTTAAAAAATGCTGAAATTTTTACAATCATTTTTTTTTTTTCTGGAGCTTGCAGAGTATTGAATCCATAATCAGCAGATCACAGGTGAAATGTCAGCCTCCTGCAGAATCTCTATACCTGTCTGCCTGTACCTCCCGCATGTGCACTGCGCTACACCCACGGTGCTGGTAATCCGCAGCACGTCAGTGTGAAAGCAGCCTTATAGGGGGATCAGGACAGTAAGGGCTTTGTTTACATTTGTGATTTGGGGGTGGTAAAACTCCATAGTTCATTGTGACCCATGATCAGTTACCAAATCGCTTAAGTAGCTCTCGCTTTTCAAAAATTTGAGCAGCCGTGCTTTTAAGGCTAAGTTTACCTTTACAAAAATGCTGATATTTTTGCAATCATTATTTTTTTTTTTTGAGCATGCAGAGCATTGAATCTGCGATCAGCAGATCACGGGTAAAATGTCAGCCTCCTGCAGAATCTCAGTATACCTGTCTGCCTGTACCTCACGTACCAGCAGACGGTTGCTGAAATGCAGGAAGATCAGTGAACTATGAGAGAGTGCTCACCAGCTCCCTCACAGTTCATTGAGAACTACAAGCCGCTTGCCACAATGTCAGACGGTAGTTGTAGTTCATTCATTCACAGACTCTGTGAATGAATGATGCGGCTGTGTGAATGGAGCCCCGGATTGCCGTGGGTGCGGAGAAAAGATCTTCGATCCCTCGCTGTGACGGAGGGTGGGAGGAGCGCAGGCATGTGCTCTTTGGTAACATGTTACATATTACACCCTAAATATGGTTGTAACATGTTACCAAAGGTAAACTTATCTTTTAACCCCCCCGGCGGTATTCCTGAGTGTAGCTCGGGGTAAAGTTTCAGCACCACAAGCGGTAACCCCCCCGAGCTACACTCGGGAATACACTGCAGCGTTGCTCCGGGATCTCTTCTGCCCTTACCTTGTCCTGCGCAAACCACCTCCCGCGATGTCCCCCCTGCAGTGTCCCCGGCAATGTCCTCCATTGGATGCCGGCATCTCTCTTCTGGGTTCCTTTCCCTGCGACGTCGGGACGTACGGGGGACGGAACTGGCGGGAAATTTGAAAGTTGAAAAAGTGACATTCACTAAATACACTAAAATCACATAGTATAACATTCCTGTATAAAACCATTTCACATACATTTTGTCCCGAGTGCTTTGTCCGGCGCCCTGCCTGCATTTTTACTGTTCTTTCTGCCTGGAAACTGAGAAACGTCCATGGCGTCCAAAAAGCGTCCCTTTAGGTCAAAAGCGGTTTTAGACCGGCTAGAGAACAGCGATAGTAAATCAGAACCACTTGCAGAATTGAGTGATAATGATTCGTGGGGGAAATTCCTCATCAGACACTGAAAACGATTCTGCGACTGAGCTCAGCGATGTGCGAACTTGGCGCTCTATTTCAAATTTCAGTGTTTTTGGTTTGATTATATTATTTAATTAAATGTATTATTATTATATTATTATTTTTATGATTATTTATTAAATTATAATTTATGATTTTGTGTTTCAAATTTTATCATCCCCGGGATGTTTACTAGACTCTTGTTCAGACAGATTTCAGTGAGTTATTCCTAAAAATTACAGGCCTACAATAAAACAAAATACATATTTCCATGCAAAAAAATGTACCGCTTTGAGCACAGAAATATGGATATAATCAGACCGCTAGGGAGGTTAACTGACTATGACTTTGTAAACAAAGTCCACTAATACTTTGCATCTTTTTATTAACAGAGACTTTTTGAGGAGTGATCACGCAGCCGCGTGCGAAACTGCTGATCCTTCGGGCAACCAGTGTTTTGATGCTAGGAGGTATGACGGCGTACCAACACCAGACTTGGTGAACTTCCACGGACTCTGCCCTGAAAACATTGATATCCCAGGCGATGCCGCCCCAGCCGAAGGAGCATTGGCAACCACTGTAGACCACCAGATGCATCCAGAGGCCACGCTGGAAGATATAGAGGTGGGAACTGTAATCGGCGGACCTCTCTCAGACTTAGAATTGTCTCATGTACAGGAAGATATGTCTTCTGAGATATGCGTAAACACGGACCCGGAAGGGTCCGCGGAGGGGGTTGGAGAACAGCCGCGCCCAGTGTCTCCTTCAGTCTACATGATGCGCATCCCCCAGCCGCCGGGGGCCTATATTCAGAACGAGCACAGCTACCATGTGGGGAACGCACTGCTTTTGGAAGAAGAGAGCAGAAGCCGCATTAGAGGCATTGACCAAAGTCCAGAGACAGCTGGAAGCTTGCAGACGGCGGGAGCAGAGGCTTCGCCTTCGCATCTCTGCGTTACAGCAGGAGCACTTGCGGGAAAGGCGCGCACAATCAGACGTCCGAGAGAAGCTGAAGGAGCATCTGCAAGTGTTTGAGCTTCAGCTTATAAATGACTTTGTGTAATGCCCTGCTGGGTCTGCTCAGAGTATGTGCCCATGGACGTTTTTACGCCGTCATACAAAACAGTAAATACTGGTAGAGAGGGGGGTTATTTTGTTTCAGGTTAAATTCTTAAAGTCTAGCCAAAACGTTCATTGGGTTTGCATAGAGGGGTGGGATTGGAACCCCTTTGGGGTTTTTACTGCTAACTGGGGCAACATTAGCGAGATTTATGACACCCTTAGATGGATAAAAAATCCAGGGAGTGGATGATTTTTGATCCACCTACGGCCATTCTCGCTTTAAGCCCTGGTTCATACCGGTGCGACTTGTCATGCGACTTGACAAATCAGTTGCAACCAGGGGCGGACTGACCATTCGAGCACTCAGGCACTTCCCGAGGGACCAGGGTCAGTAGGGGGCCTCATCAAATGCCCCTGGTACCTTTTTATAGGCTTTTTTCGGTGTGCTTTGAGTGTGGGCAAGGACACAGGGCCCCATGATCCCCTATTACCCGGGGCCCCATAAGTTGTTAGTCCGCCCCTGGTCGCACCCTATTTTCAGCTATGGAACCGTTTTAAATCGGTGCAACTTTGATTCGCACTGACTTTGAAAAAGGTTCCTGCACTATTTGTGTGCGATTTCATGTGTGCCTTGCATTGACGGCTGTGCATGAAGCCACACATAAAATCGCACTGATCTGCGGCTTTGAAATCCCGCTGAAGTATCGCAATATCAAAGCTGCATTCGGTGTGAACCTGAAGTAAAGAAACTGATCTAACAACAATTTTTCTCAATCGCCACTGATCAGTATATTTGGATAGCAGAGGAGTGCTGCCATCAGAATACAATGGTGCAGTAAAGAGGATTCCTCCATCCACCTTGCATGTGCGGATGGGGGAATCCCTTTGTCTTTTAACAATCAGTCCTCTGGCTGATCGAAAAAAACAAAACCGGTATCTATGGGCAGCCTAATTCCAACCCTAACCCCCGGTTCACATCTATGAGGCCATGCGGGCCACGTTTTGCGCGGGTGTGAGAGCCCATTCATTTGAATGGACTCCCGTGCCCGTGACACGCAGGGAAGAAGTCCTTGCACTTCTGAAAACACAGCCGAGGTTCCCAGTACGGTTGCGTTTTCCAGTGCGGGCGAGGCGCCATTAAAACTAATGGCACCCGCCCGCGGGTCCGCATTTCTCTGTGCGGGTGGTGCGGCTGCACGGATTTTCGTGCGGATCCGCAGTGACACCACCCACACAGGTGTGACCCAGGGCTAATGTCACACAGATAATAGTTTTACCAGACAGGAAGCAACAAAATTCTGCAAGGACTCAGACAGCAAAATAAAGCTGCAAGGAGAAGAATCCACACCAGAAATTTAGGAGTCCAAGTATATTCATTGCAGCAGCCCAACATGTCTTGGTTGCTGTAGGGGTCTCCCTTTATCAGATCTTTAGTATGCAGTTTTTTGGGGGTTAAATCAACTTTGGAATGAAATTTTCTATTTAAAGTGGACCTTCCCCTCCGAACACAAAACACACATAAGCATCAAAAACCTTTTCTTCAAACCTTCACCCAAAACCTAATACCCTTCCTTTACTTCAAAATGTCCCAAATACAGTTCAAAAAATGGTCCACCAAATGTCCCAAATACAGTTCAAAAAATGGTCCACCAAATGTCCCAAATACAGTTCAAAAAATGGTCCACCAAATGTCCCAAATACAGTTCAAAAAATGGTCCACCAAATGTCCCAAATAATCAAAAAATGGTCCACCAAATGTACAGTTCAAAATAATCCACCAAATGTCCCAAATAAAGTTCAAAATAATCCACCAAATGTCCACACTATTCATCTTCCAAACGTGATAAAATGTCCAATTTGTCACTTCAAATCCAAGATACCTCAAAGAAATGTAAACTAAATATAGTGCATTATCTCTCAAATAATACAATATTCTGTGATGCCATGCAAAACACTCATGAGACACAAAAAAAAAAAAAAAAAGAATATTGTATTATTTGAGAGATAATGCACTATATTTAGTTTACATTTCTTTGAGGTATCTTGGATTTGAAGTGACAAATTGGACATTTTATCACGTTTGGAAGATGAATAGTGTGGACATTTGGTGGATTATTTTGAACTTTATTTGGGATATTTGGTGGATTATTTTGAACTTTATTTGGGACATTTGGCGGACCATTTTTTGAACTGTATTTGGGACATTTTGAAGTAAAGGAAGGGTATTAGGTTTTGGGTGAAGGTTTGAAGAAAAGGTTTTTGATATTTGTACTTTCAAGGGTGAAAATATTTACTTTTCTTTGGGGATATACAGAGATTTTGGTTGTGACACATAAGCATCGTTAGGTCAGTTGTTTAACTTATTCCCACTGGCCTTACCTATATATGTGGCAGGCGGGATTTAAAGCGGTATGAAACCCAAAACCAAAAAGTAATATATTGCAGCTAACCAGTCATTAGATGTGGTGGCTGCATTAGTTTTCTATTTTTAGGCTTTTTTTGCCACTGTTTTCAGCTGCTGATATGGCCAGTAACACTTCTCCCATATTAGAGCGCCCCCCCACTCTGGATGAATGAGCACAGGGGACACGGAAGACAGCAGCATTGTCAGTCTGGGGGGGGGGGGGTGTTAAATGTGTTAGATTTAAATACGCTAACAAGTTGAAGCCAAACTCCAGCTAACATTTTATAATCAGTTACAGTAAACATTTTGTTTTCTTTTTTTGGGATAAAGGTTTTACTTGAATAAATAAAAGCTGATCATTGTAAGCACCCCTGTCAATGTTAAATGATTTTTCTCATCTATGTAAGCTGATGCATTCTGGCTGGATCACCAGATGAAAATAGAAGAGAGAGCCTAAAAAAAAGAAAAGGCAGCTATCACATCTAAGAGTTGGTAAGCTGCAGTATAATAAATGTTTGCATTTGGGTTTAATACCACTTTAACACTGAGCGGGCACATATTTGTGTCTCTTGGCAGTGGCTTTTCTGTGTTGAGAGCAGGGGCGGACTGACCATTCGGGGTCTCGGGCATGCCCGAGGGCTTAGGGTCAGTAGGGGGCTCCATGAAATGGCCCTAGTACCTTTCATAGGCTTTTTGGGGTGTGGTTTGAGTGTGGGCGAGGACACAGGGGCCCCATGATCCCCTATTGCCCGGGGGCCCCATGAGTTGTCAGTCCAGCCCTGGTTGAGAGCATCCAAGGTGTGAAACTACGGTGTCATGGACAGTTACCGACGTAAACTTGCAATTGGGAGCTTCCGATCATGTGACCATTGTGACAGCCAGTCGCATCGATCACAAGATCTGAAAGCCAGTGACAAGTTGCTATTTTTTTTATTACCTTTGTTCCAGACACTTTTCGGTTTCCTTGAGGCCATGCCCCCAGTGCCTACATGAGTGATCTCATCTGATCTTGGACATGCGTAGTATGAGATCTGGGGCAGCTTCTTTTTGGACACTAGCTTTCCTAAAATCATGTATAGTATGCTGCATGTGCCAGATCTCTTACAAAGGTTGTAAACCCCAAGCATGAAATATGAAGAAGCATATCCCCTTATAGTGTGTACTTGTCTCAGTCCAGAGCACTAAGTGTCATTTCTGTCTGCTGCTTCATTCCTCTGCTATCTGCTTGAGTCACTTCTGACAAGTTTTCCTGACACCAAGAGAAAAATGGTGACGGGGAGGGAAACAACCTGTGATTGACAGCCTGGGCTCTGTTCCTGTGAGCTGTATGTAGGGTGTGCGTCTCTTCCCTCCAATCAGCTCTCAGAGCTCTCCTCACTGATGTAACTTCAGGTCCCTGCCCCCTGCTTTCTAGAGCTGAGAGCTCCTGCTAGAGAAGAGAAGACTGTGGATAAACAGGTACAACTTATGTAGGAGGATTTTTTTCATCTTTGTGTATCCACCTGAGGCCAGTCACTTCACTTGGTATATGTGAGAGTTTACAACCACTTTAAGACGCATGCCCCTACAATCTCCGATGTGACTTGTTACTGTTCGATAACAAGCTGCTCACATCTCATATGCCATTGGAGATCTGGCGCATGGGCTGTACATGATATTGGTTGGCTAGTTATAGTTCAGTAATATGCCCCCCCCCCCCCAAGTCTTGTACTGCGCATGCTCCAGGTCTGGCATGAGGTCATTGGTGGGCCGGCACTAAACAAGGAAGAAGAAGCCGGCCACCAATGAGGTAAATGTAAAACAGCAGTGCGGAACGTGGAGACCAAGGAGGGAGATCCTATTGGAAAGGGGGGCAAGCCAAAGAAAAAGCATTGCCTACTGATGTGTGAATTGGTTTCCCTGAATCCCCAAATACATTTATGTGCACGGGCAGTGCAGAATGGTGGAGTGGGTTGGGGGGTCAATTTATCTGCTTCCTTTGGGTCTGTTATAGCTCTTAGATAAATGCATAAACTACATGTTAGTGGTTTTGAAGATTTTTAACTCTCATGCATTCTATGCATTAAGGTAAAAAACCTTCAGTATGCAGCCCCCCCAGCCCCCCTAATTTTTACCTGAGCCTAATCTCGTTGCACTGCTGCGCACAAGAGCAGCGGCTCTCTCGGGTTTCTCCCTCCTCATTGGCTCAGACACATCAGTGGCAAACATTGGCTTCCGCTGCTGTTAAATCACAGCCTCATTGGTTGTGATCCCCCTGCTCCTCCTCAGTGGGCAGAATGGCCAAGCTGCACTCTGCCATTTATGGACACACAAAGCAGAGTTCGGGAGCGAGCATGCACAAGTGCCCCCATGGGAAGCAGCTTGCTATGGGGGCACTCGGCTGGGGGGGACCCGTAAAGAGGAATATTGGAGCTGCTGTGTGCAAGACCATTACACAGACCAAGTATGACATGTTCGTTATTTTTTACAAAAAAAAAAAAATACCTTTTACAATCACTTTAATGCTGTCAGAAATCTTGGGATCTGATAACTTTTTGTGCTATCTGCTTTTGCTCCACTGTTATTGGTTACTTTGTTCCCAGTTTACTTCTGTGAGT